ATAATTTTATCCTAACATACATTATTTTGACATATCAAAAATAATATTAAAAATAACAGAGATTAAAATAAATAAGATAAAAACATTTTAGAAATTTGATTAATTTTTTGAAATATATTTTATACATTTTCATTCTTTAGACTTGTCTGTTTCATTCTTTGACATTTTTGAATAAAAATTATAAAATAAGTTCAAAATTTACACATTTATTATTTATTACACACAGTATAGGAGTTCACCGTTTTTTTGAATTAAAATAATTTTGTATGGTGCATATATATATAAAACTGATTTGCTGATTTCAACATATCGCATACAATACGAAAACAAACGATTATTTTGCAAAATCTTTACTTCAATATTTAATAAACATTTTGCCATAAATTTCTTTTATTTCCATGTCTGTTTTATATTTTCTTATAAAATCTTATAAGTATACTGCAGAGATAGTAATAAATAATTGGAGAACCTAATTGTCCATAACTTGTCACAATCTCTGCTTAATTAAAAAATTATTGAATTATGAAATAAAGGAATCTGTAATTAATATTTCATTCATACTATTTTTTTACTTTAAATAAAAGTATTAGTTTTTTTATCATAGATGTATCTTCTATATAAATATTTCATAAATATAGTGAACGATATACATAAGATAAAATAATTTAAATAAAAATTATATTGATTCCAGAAATCTATAAATTTATGTGGAAAAGTTTTGAAAAAATTAGTTCCTTACGAAATTTAAATTTTTAAAAGATTTTAATGTCTTTCAATGAATAAAGTTTTTATTTATTTTAAACTTATATCAATAAGTATAATTGTAATTGCATGTAAAGTTCTTGTTTTAATTTTATGCATTTACTGACTATTATCTTAATCAATAGTCAATTTTTTTGGAACATACAATATGTAACATACTTACAGCATAATATGATAGAATTCATGCAATACATTATAATAAACAAAATGGATAAAGAAAGTCTGTTTGGTGTATAATTGTATAGTAATGATGTTCTTCAAACAAAAAGAATGTTTAAAATATAAAACTTTTGTGAAACAAAATTTTAATAAATATTCGTAATGACAGAACATTCCTCTAAAATTTAATTTAGATATTCATTTTTAAATTGCAAATGTTTAAATAAATTTTGAAATCTAAGAAAATTGATTATACGTGAGATTGCTCTATGGTATAAATTAATATTATATGATTCAATAAAATAATTTAATTTAAAAAAACTTCTACAAAATTATATTACATTAAGATCTGAATAAATTTTTCTTTACTTTTGATCTGAACTGTCAAAATATATTCTTCCAAAATAAGATAAAAAAAGCAAAAGCAATTTTCCATTTATAGATATATGTAGAAAATTGAATTATGATTGAAAATGTGGATGATATGATTTTATCTTTTATATAAAGTATGATATAGTATGTAATAATATGCTATAAATTGAAATCATTTTTATTAGAATTGAATACAATTTCTACATTAGTAATTATTAATATATTTAATCTTACAATTAGAATAAAATTATCAGTTGTCATTTATAAACCTTTAGCATTTTCCTATTCTGTGTGCACATTAGACATGGAATAAAATATCTAAACCTGTATGTTCTCTTATAGTTTTTTGATATGTATTGTAAAACTATTAACATATTGTCAAATAACACTAGGTTATATACTCAGGTTATATACTTCTCAATACTAAACAAGTCTGATGTACTTCCTTTTGTTAGTAACAGTTTTATAGATATTTGGGGAGCTTGTTTCAGGCATTTCATACTGTATACTGAACCAGTAACTGAACAGTGAATGTGTTACTCACTTTATAATTATAACTGATGTTTTATTTCATAAAAAATATTATATACGATATATAAATGAAACTAATGTTATTATAAACATTATGAACTTAGCAATAGCAATACATAAAATACACAAAATTAGAATGACCATATGTACACAGAATAGCTACAATATGTATTAGTACAATATATTGTTTTTAAATTTAGAACAAATAAATGTCTTTCTTCATTTGAAAAAAATTAAAATTTCTCAAAACAGAAATGGGAAATTAATTTTTATAAATTTTTTTACACTGATTTTTTCTTATAAAATAAAAATATAGCACAAATTGAATATGGGAAAATTCTTATTATTTTTTGTAATATATTATTTTTTTATAAAGTTCTTATTAAATTTTTTTTAATATACAATTTGTATAAAATTTTATCAAAATGTGTAACAGTCATCTATGATCTCTTATTATTAGTAATATTATAAAACTTAGTAATACTATATAAATTATATATTATAAAACTATTAGTAATACTGTATAAATTTTAATTTTTCTGTCTATTTCTACTAAATAATAATTTCAAACACAATTTAATATATGTTTAAATAAATTTCAATTACACTCTGTATTAAAAAAAGCATATTAATTACATGAAAGAGTACATTAGAATAATAATATTTATACTCTCATTTTTATATATAGGTACAGATACAGATTTAGAAATCATAGAAGCACATACAGTAGAAATATTAAAATTCGGACGTAAACGAGAAGAAAATTTAAATAAGTATCCGTGGCTTTGTACTGATTGTAATGATAAATTACCTAGTTTAGAAAAATTAGAAGAACATCATGAAACTATTCACAATCAACAAGCAAAATATATGTGTGTCTTGTGTTGTAAAGTTTATGATAAATATTATGGTTTCCTTACTCATGTCAAACGACACAAAAACAAGACAAAATTCAGGTAATATTCAAATTTATTAAAATATTTATTAAAATTGTTTAACATTCATAATCTTTTAATAAAACTATTTAATATTTCTTATAAAGTTGTGAAGATTGTGGAAAATCATTTGTACATAAAAAAGTATTAGATTCTCATAAAGCAATTCATAGTGAAGAGCGGCCACATGTATGTCAAACTTGTGGAAAAGCATTTAGACAACAAAGTGCTTTGTATATTCATAGTCGATGTCACTTACCAGATACTATGAAAAATAGATATCCATGTGATCAGTGTGATAAAAGGTATCTTTACATATATTAATTTTATTTTTTTTTTTGATACACATTTACTAATTTTTTATAGTATTTTTATAATATATCTTTGTATGTCATGGCTTTAATTCTGTATTTTCAAATTGTTGGAGGTCTATTTAAAAAATCAACAAAAAATCGATCTTGAACATGATTTTCAAACTTAAATTTTTTTTTATTACATCACATACAGTACTCGTCACGAAGAATAAATATTTAAAAAACAGATCGCTATTTAATCGTTCTCTTGAAAAAACTGTTAAAATTCCATTAATTTTTAAATTCATTCTATTTGTAATATGTTTACATTCTGCGATCACTGTAAGTAAGTAAAATAATATCTATTGTCGCACATAGATATTCCAATGCATATTCCATATCTTTCTTTTTTCTTTTTTTCTTTTCTGCTATTTAAACAGTCCGAATTAGTATTTTTACATTTCGATCTGATTACACATTGATTTATATAACAAAAATCACTTGATCTGATGTTTTAATTTTTCAACGGATGTAATCTATTCAATTGAGCTATAAATAATTTATTCCCACAAAGAAAAAGATCTACTGTTGTTAAATCTCTAAATTTCTCTCTAAATGAGAAAGAGCAAATCTGCATCCTAATCATGATACATCCCAAACATTTTATTAAAATATTACTAAAATGATCGACTATGATAATTTGGTAATATTCAAAATTTCATAATATGATATGTCATAATACAACATCTCACAGTTGGAGCACTGTTCTCATTGTCTTTTTCATATTGTGCTTTATTTCTATATGATTGTTATTTTACATGTTTCTCGTTTATGAGATTTAATAGCAGTGAATTTTTTTCTTTTGTGAATAAGTCTTTCGTTTGTACTTTGAGTGAATATATTATATCCATTGAACAATTAAATTGAATGTAATTTTTATTGTATAAAATCGTAATGTTAAGCTAATAGCTATGCTATTTTGAGTCTGTTTGATATAATGATAAAGAGAAAAAGAGAAGACATAAGATGTATAATGGTGAATCTAGAGAGTATCTATTTGTGATGATAAATATTATTTTCTCTGCATTTAACTGTAAAATATAAGCACGTAAAAAAAAAATGAGTTAGAAAACTAATGGAATTTTAATATTTTTTTTCTAAGAAAATGGTTGGGTCGTGATTCATGGTTTCTTTCAGATTTTTTTCTTCATAGAATACATTGCAACTAAAAAAAGTGAAAATCATTCAAAGTTAATTTTATAGTATAATAAATATTATGTCTATCAAATTTAACTCATTAAATATACATAAGTGTTTTATTTCATTTTGGCTTTACGCGATCACTAACTTATATAAATATTTTGGTTATTATCTACCTATTGTTCTACCTATTGTTTTCGCGTCATTCAACGTAATTTCAGTTATTACCATCTACTTATAGGAAAATTAAAATTAATTGACAAACACCAATCAATTATTATAATAAAAAGCACAGAGTTGTATTTCAATCAGAGCTAAGAAGCTAGGCAAAAAGGCGAGAACTAAGAACTAGAAGAGCAAACGATATCGTTTGGCACTTCTTATAAAAGCAGATAACTTTAATGCTATTGTACTGTCTGGATACAATTTTATAATTTTTTCTTCCAAATTTCTAATATATCCGCGAATCTTTCTCTTTAAAGTTTCCCATATTAAGATTCGTTTCCTATGGTGATTTCGCGTGTGTTTATCAAACGTTCTGAACATATATCTACTGTATAATATCTTCTGTACTTCATTTTGAGAAACAAACTCATCGTTTTACAACTAGACCAACGTGAGGCCACAAAATTATTATCATCTTTTAACAAGAAATTTGTATCAAATTTCACTAAAGAACTGAGGCCGTAGAATGTAGAATCACTCTATAGTTGTGACATATAATTTCCTTTCATTCTGTACATGTGTGCATATTTATAGTTTATATCATCATTTAATAATTTTATATTTAATTTCATTAAAAATACTTTTTACACGCTATATTAAAATATATTATGAATCTATACTTCTGAATTAATGGAAATATATTAAGAAATTACAAAATTGATTTTAAATTTAACATTCAAGTTCAAATTTTATTTATTTTTCATTTCATTATACTTTTTAGAAAAGACAAATATCAAATATTTTTAGCGTTAATTAAATAATTTTTTTCTAGTATAATTTAAAAACATCAATATTATATTCATAGTAGTATATATATTTACTTAATTTCTTTAGCTTATTTCTCTTTTAAATTTATAAAAATAGTACCATTCTCAGAACAATCCAAACACATACTTTTATGTGGCAATTATTATTGTATAAATACATATTTTTATTCACACAATTCTGATCTTGAATGAAAAGTTGTTTTATTTAACATGCATATATATATATGTATGTATAAAATCTAATCTTTACACAATTTTTTTAATTATTTCAAAAAGAGGAATCTGATAAAATGTAAATATGGTGTAAGTAATTTTAATTTAGGAGTTAATTAAGTTTTAAATAACAAATTATTTTTCATTTACGTTGTGGCATAGATTATTCTTATATTATTATCGTTTATTTTATAAGAGTGACATATAAATAAAGTACAAATAGTATGCAAGTAATAAAAGAAGTTTTTCAGATTTTCAACAAAACCAAATTTAGTCACACATAAACGTATCCATTCTGGTGTTAGAAATTTTACATGTGATCAGTGTGGCAAGAGTTTTATTCAAAAAGGAAATCTAGAAGCTCATTTTTTAACTCATTCTGCAGACAAGCCATATAATTGCAGTCAATGTTCAAAAGCGTATGTTTATTAAAGAAAATACAATAATTTATAACTTATTTGTAATTAAATTTACATACATAATATAATTTGTAGTTTCAAAACACCATTACAATTGAAAAAACACGAAACAGTTCATACAGGAGCAAAACCACATCAATGTGCTATATGTGGAAGAACTTTTAGAGAAAAAGGTACCTTAAGGGAACACCACAGAATACATACTGGTGCAATGCCATTTACATGTGAATTTTGTGGTAAATGTTTTCGATTTAAAGGAATATTAACTGTAAGTTAATTAAATAATTAATACAGTATTATTTAAAAAACAATAAGTAATATCATTTTTAAATTTATTTTCAGACTCATAGAAGACAACATACTGGTGAACGTCCATATAGTTGTTTAGAATGTCAACATCATTTCACCAATTGGCCAAATTATAATAAGCATATGAAACGTAGGCATGGAATTAATACATCACATGCAAAGCATTTGTCACAATCTCAACAAATACAATCACAATTGCAACAATCACCAGAGCAACAATCAGAACAATCACAAGTAGATCATTTAAACGCTTCAGAACATTCAGTTTCTATATCTCATACGGAATCATCAGCTGTTCATGTAAGGAATTATTGTATTTGATCTAATATTATAGCTTATAGTATAGAAATATACGTATAACATATGAAACTTATTTCAAAGATAGATTTAAAATATGAAATGTGCAACAAATTTCATTATGTTTTCAATGAACTATTAACTTCAGTAATTTATCGATTATTAGGAAAAAAATTTTAATCATTTTTCACAATAACCATTTTTTTAGCTTCGTTCTTAAGACACAAATATTAAAAATTTTTTTTCTTTATTTATTTAAATAAATTTCTTTTTGTTAAGAAATTTATTTAAGTAACAAATAATTTGTATGCGTTATTTATTCTGTATTTTACATAATTAAAATATTTAGTATCAAAGCTTTAAAAAATTTGTTAAAATAAGATAATATGGTATTTTATAATCTTTGAACTTCAAAAGTCATATTTTGTTTCATCATAAACATAAATGAATATTATTACTATATTATTCCTAAGTAGATTTTTCGCCTGTGAATTTAAACGTGATTATAATCACTATAACATTAATTCTATGTTAATTATACAATTTGTCATCTGAAGTCCTGTTGTCATTATAAAGTACATGTATATAACAGACATTGAAAGAGTTAATAGATGCCGTTTAAAACGAAGTTAGTCTCATAGTTCGTAAAATTCTGAGTATGCATCCATTTTAATTTATTAATGATCATTAAATTACGAAAAATAAAATTTTTTATTTTTTAATTTACAATTACAAAATTATTTTAATTGTTTAAGTTTTTGTTTTTCCATTTCACTGACACTTAATGTTCTCATTCTCGTTTTCGAAGCATTTAAAAAGTAATCTCAAGAGAGATGTCATTATCAATATTAAAGCTTTTTGAATCTTTTGATAAGAACTTTTTCTTTTAATAAAGCAATTTTTAAAAGAAATTCAGAAAAAATAATATTTACAATATTAATAGTTGTTGAATCAATTTACAGGAAAAGAGTCTTATTATCGATTTTGATAGTACTTTTTAATTCTTTTGTTGATGTATAAACAACAAGAAAAGTTTAAAAATGAGCGGTTGGATACTAATGGCATTGAAGAGAATTTTTATAGAAGGAAAATTTTAAGAAATTAATTCTTTGCAGACCAGACTATCAGACGCATAAGTGTTAGCCTGGTTCAAAGGTTTTGGACATACAGTGAACATACATACAATAATAGCATATGTGGGAAATTATGTTTTAGAAACTCTTCATTTTATTTCATATTAACATATCAAATCAGATTAATTGTTATCTATAGATTTGTATTTCGGCATTATGTACATTATTAAAATATTATTAAAAATAATCACTTACATGTAATTCTAATTTAAATGGATATATATCATAATAGTATTGTGTATATATCATAATATTCATGTTTGATTTTTCGATTTAAACATAGTACATAGTTTTTACTTTCATCTTTATTATTTAATATGCGATAATTCATATAAACTGTCTACTATCCTACAGTAGATACTATCCTAAAAGTTGATAATTACTTGCACATATATCAAGTAGTACTTTTTATTCTTGTTCTACTATTTTATACAATATAAGAATTTATTGTCGATATTTCCAATCAAGAATACTTTATGTCATTGTTTTTTTTTTTTTTTGACATATAAAATAATACATTGCTATATAATAATCCGTTTTATTCATACTACTTATTACAATTTATAATCTCATTATTTGATTCTATGTTGTTCATAAAAATTAGGGAATATTTTAAAATATCGCTTCAATGAATATGAATTTGATTTTTTAAACAAGAATATCAGAAAAGCAAACGACAAGTCAAAGAAAGTTGTTCGATTTTGTCTTTGTTTGCTTTTCTGATGTTCTTGTTTAATAAAAAAAAATCAAATTTTCGCTTCATATTCATTTTGAAATATCCTCTAATTTTGTAAGCAGTATTATGCTGGTGGATTACTTCGTATTCTTCTATTTGCTTCCTGGATAGCCAATACATCTCAAATACTGAATACAATTACATACAATTCATTTGTTCTAGCTAATAATAAAATGTGATCACATCTATAATTTTATTCTTTGAATTTTTTATTGAATATGGAATGTATTTTCATGGAATGTTAATTTACATTTAATTTACATTATTCCGGTTAAATATGATTTCATATGCAATAGTATATTTGTTAATGGTATGCTTGTAAAATATCGATTAAATCGATATCTTTTGTAGCGCTTCAGAATTTAAATTTAATAATTTTTGAAAGAGATGCAAAACAATTCTTGAACTAATTAGAGAATCAGTTTTTATTAAGTTTTGTACTGTGAAATTGCCATGATCGTTTAAATATATCTTATGTTAGCGTTTGCCAAAATATAAACTTGTATTCAACATTCCACATTTTGTCGATTTCTATGAATTGTATTAATAAATTATTTTTTCTTGCATTTTATTAGATTGAAGTTTTGTTATATATTTCTTTGCATTTAGAATCAATATAATCCAAATAATTATTCATTTTTTGTGTCCTTACAGCTTGGGCATTTTGTAAGTTTACGTTTGTATGAAGCATCTAAAATATTGTAAAGATATACTTTTCCTGAATATTTCAGGAAAATATCAAATTCTTGCACTATGTTTCATAGTTTGATATTCTTTCAAATTGTTTCCATATTTCTATAAATGTCTCATTTTTTTTATACTAATATTCGTCCACGTGTTCCACACAAATTTTGATAAATTTTTCCCTAATGTATTTTATCAATGGTGCACTTATTTGCTTGCTTAAATAGTTTACTAATCAATTCTTTTAAAAATCTATCGGTTTAGTATAATTTGCTTTAACTTGTGGTATAAGTATTCTGGACCCTTGTGTAAATGCTATTTTTGATAGGTTTTCGTCTCGAATTGTAACATTTATCCATACACTATTCTCATTTATTTAACATTATTCCATACACTATTCTTATTTCTCTCTTTTACTTTTTTTTTTATGACATATTACTTCCAGAATCAGAATTACTACTACTCATAATACTAATATCACCATGTATAATATCACATTTAAGATAAAATTTAATATCTCTACTATTAATGTCATAAAATTCTTCCTGCACTCTTATCGCAAAAAATTTGAAAATATTTATTAATTAATTTAATAGAACTATATATAATTATGTATAATTTTATAGGTATTTATATATAATAATATCTGGATTCTTACAGTTATAAACACTTATACATATATTATTTTATAGTTATATACAATCATTTTACAATCATACGCTGAAAAATAATGAATTTTCGTCTGTATCTCCAAAACGAAATAAGATACAGTTTTGCGTGAGCGTTCATTTTATATCTCTCCTTTATAAACTAAATAGTATGCTTAATAATCAAGAATAATATCATTTAAAACGAGATTACAATATCAACGAAATTTAAGCTATGAATTGCTATGACGGATCGCTTCCATCTTTAAGCCCAAATTTGAATTCCCATTTCTTTTCAGAATTAAAAAAGATACTCAAGGATATAATTCATTTCAAATCGGGCAATAAAATCGAAGCAGCAGTGACTTTTTGTATCAAAAGTAGAAAGCCAAAATTCTTCGCCGTTGGAATGAAAAAATCATCACTTGTTGCATCGAAGTTAATAGCCATTGTGTGTAAAAAACAAATATGGTATTTTATAATTAACTATTTTATAGCTAAGTTTCATTTCTATAGCTGTTTTCGTTCAGACGAAAGTTAATTATTTTTTAGTCAATCTTTGTATATAATTATTTTATAATAATATAAAACAAAAGCACAAAACTAAAAGATTTCAGTAGCACAAATCAATTATTTGAAGCATTCAATGAGATTAATATCTAAGATGGAAATTGACTTTGTGGAGGGAGAATATTCAATATTCAATACAAAAGATTAGATTCCTACGATGAAAATCTTTCAGATTGTACATAGTTGTCGCGAGTTACTATACACCGAGTGCGTTTGAACTATTTTAGCAGCGAATTAAAAACAATCCGGATGATTATTTGTCAATGCCAATCTGCAAAGTGTTAAATGTCGATTTAAGAAAAGAAAGTACAGACTCCGTTTCAGATTTTCATTTTTTTCTAAAGAACAATATATAATAGACAAAAGAAAGTTCAACTTCCAAACATTGTTGTGTTATAGATGACTATAATAATTTGTATTAGATAACTAAAATTTAAAGTATCTGATTTTATTTTGTATTTTCCTTGATAGGGATTAATAATTAAATTAAATTAAATTAAAAATTAAGTAACTTAACTCTAAATGTTTTCTAATGATTTAATGATATAATTATAATTAGTATAATTTAAATATAATTTATATTGATTTAATAATAAGAGTTGAAATTGATATGGATATTATATCGAACACTCAAAGAAATAGAATTTATGCAGAAATTCGTTTTATGATACTTTGGATATATTATGTACTTTTTATATTATACATATGTATTTCGTGCATTTCTACTTAAATTTTACATATAATGAATATATAAAAATCTACAGATTATTCATTACTCCTGCTAAATGTAATGCCATTTTGTAAATGTTCTTCCATACATTTGTTTTTTGTGCCATTGTAAGTATTGGTTTAGGATATATAAATCCTCGACTATTATAGAATCTAAAAGAATGTAAATTATTTATTAATATAATATTATATTGAAAATCACATTATGCAACAACGTAACCTGATCTTCAAATAGGAATTATCAAGTTTAAACATGCTTTTCAGTGCCAAGAATAAAAAATCTAGTAAACAATTTAAAAAAAATGAATGTTAAAATAATCTTGAACTGTTCCAAAATTACTACAATCCGATTATAATCCTTTCGACACTGAACGTTTGTTAACAGATTCTTTCATATCTCCAAGATAACAACAACAGAGATATTCATATATATAATAATGGCACATCGTATACATTAATACATTTATGTGTCAATAAAATTTATTTGTGGATTTCATTTAATCCAAACCAATACCTATTGTTCTTTCAAACAAAATTCAGATTTGCGTAATTCGAGCTTTCTTTTTGAAAATTTCAATAAAACTACACATATCATTAATAAATAATTTGTATTGAAAGTATAATACTATTGTATATTAAAAGTATGTATTTTATCTGACATATTAAAATAGTCTGATATGTTAAAATAGTCTGATAAGTTAAAAGTAAGTTATCATTAAGAGGTTACTCATGTGTTCTCTTTTTCAAGATGTTTCTTTCAAGGTTATTGGGATCCAACCGCTCATATCAGAA